TCCAGCTGTGGCCTGACCAGCGTCGCGTAGAGGGGGAGGATCACCTCCTTGGCTCTACTCGAGATGCACCTGTGGATGCACGACAAGGTCCGGTTAGCCCTGCCAACCATGACCTCGCATTGTCGGCCCATGTTCATCTTGGAGTCGATAATGACTCCAAGATCTCTTTCTGCCTCCATGCTCTCGAGTAGGGAGTTCCCCATTGTGTAAGTGTGCTGCTGGTTCCTACTGCCCAAGTGCAGCACCCTGCACTTGTCCGTATTGAAACGCATCCTGTTCCTGTTAGCCCACTCCTGTAACCTATCCAGATCCCTCTGCAATCTCTCACTCCCTGCTAGCGTGCTCACCTCCCCCCAAATTTTGTAACTTCAGTTACAAAGATGCCTCTCTTCACATTCCTGTACATCAACAACACATGGGGCTTATATAAATCAATAAAATATGAGGGAGGGGTAGTCTATAAGGTTCATCTCTCCCATGCCTTCTGCCTAACATTTAATAGCTAACTTTTGCTTCCTTTGCCATTGGCAACTAGGGGTGCATTGATAGAGACTTTTTGGGCCAACACCAATAGCCAGTTTTTAAGGAGGCCTATGAGCCAATCCCAATCTGATTTCCGATATGCAGCCCAGCAGCTTGAAAAGCAGTCTCCAGTTGGCAAGTCTCTTGTGGTGGAAGGGGAAGGGGAAGGGAAGATGTGGGGGAGGGCAGATGGAGGCCCTTGGGGTGAGGGAAGCAGTGGGGCTGGGGCTGGGGCAGGTGCTACCCAGCTGGGGTGGGGCTGCTCCCACTGCCGCATGCACCCCAGGAGGGCATGTGGGGAGCGTGCCCCAGATCTGTGAGGGGCAGGCTGCCATTGTGGGCTGAAGTCAGGGCCGTGCCAGGCTCTTCCCAGCAGGGCTGGGCTGGGCTGTGTTCAGGATGGGTGGCAGTGGCACTAGGAGGGGACTGTTGGGAGGGGCTGCAGCCACACCAAAATTCACTGTAGCCCCCCCAGTGTCCCTCTTAGCACCACCACCTGCCCTGCCTCAAGCACAGCCCAGCCCAATCTCGTACTGGGAAAAGCCTGGCGCAGCCCTGGTCGCAGCCCACAGTGGCAGCCCACCCCACACACAGATCTGGGGGCACATGCCCACATGTCCTCCCAGTGTGCGTGCAGCAGCAGGAGCCTCCCCCTCCTCCCCACACCTCCCAGACAAGTTGCAGCTCCATCCCGCATCCCGCCCTGCCCCAGATTTACATACATATATCTATGTATTTTAGTCATTAAATCCTAAGAAGGACATAACCAGTAAGCATCAGTTTTGTGGAGCAGAAAGCAAGAGTCTGCTCGATTTCAAAATAAATCCTAAACAAACTGGTGCAGAGCCAGACAGACAAAAGAACAGAACACCATGCTAATTATCACATATAATCATTCAATACACATAGGACCAAGAATCATGAATAATTATTGCAAAAGGTTCTAAACAAAGCAGCATTTTCTTATCTGGAAAACAAGTAAAAGTTTCCAGTAAGTATTGGTACATAATAAAAAATGGACTTTCCCATGCCAATTTCCATCTCTGTTGTCAGCTTCATGGTGATACTAATTAATTTCATATGAGACCATGACAGATGGCTGACAGCTTGCATTCTAATATGAATGTAGATAAAGGTAAAACATATTGATATGTGTGACCCAACAGTACAATGAAAACTGCGGTAAAGTCCAAAGACCATTTATATTCATAATTTGTTTTACAATATTAAATTACCTGCATGAAATTACCCTCTCTCCAACCAAACATTAATACTAGACAGGATATAAATTGTTCCTAGAGATGCTAAATGACTTTTTACTCATATACACAAGTGGCTCTGGCCTACAAAATGCTGTACATTTCTTTAACTCTTTATACTGTAACGTAAGACAGTAATTCAGTCATTAACTTTTTATTTTACTTCACTCAAGGTTAATGTAAATAAAAGATAAATGAACATTTCAGCTATATGATAAATATCTACTTCTATTAGCTATTTTTATTATAACAATTTAAAAAATAATTTAAAAGTATTCAGTATCAAATGGGCATAATTTAATTCTTTTCTGGAAATTCCTTTTTCTAAAAAAATTCTCATCCAACTTTGTTGACAGACCATTTTCTTCCATGGTATATTTGGTTAACCCATATGTAGTAATTTATTTCAGATTTTACTTGATAATTTTTTAGAAAAAATATTTCAATTTTCAGGAAAAAAGACAGGCAGATTTAATTATCCCTTCAACATGAAAAATAGCCCTCTGAAATATACAGTGTTATCCATTCCAGCAACTAAGACTTTTGATAGGGCTATGTGGATGCTGCATAGATATTTTACAGAGCTCACAGATTAAATTTTTGCAGCCTGTGTGAGTTTATCAACCATATTTATTTTGTAGGATGTTTTTAACCAACTAGTAGCAACAGGTATACTCACACAGGTGTCTTCATCATGATCAGGTCAATGGCAAATAAAATGGGAAGAAATATTGTCAGAAGATAAAATTCCACCACTCTAAAAATGAACATGTTCATCAATTGACATTAGAAGTCTTCTAGATGCTGTCCACCTGTTCAAATATGGACCCTCCCAGTGTGAAAGCATTAGCATCCAATTTCATTTTAAAACTGTGAACCGTATATATCCAGGTGCTATGTTTATTTTTTACTCGGCCTAACTTTCTGTCAACTGTTTTTGGCTAACGCCATATGAAACCTGTGAGATAGTGCTCATGCTAAGCAAGGCCTAGCGTAATTAACAACACACTAAAACTCCCAGAATGCTTCAAGGAGGTTGAGAAGTCAGCGATTGACATTCTGGTGATCACTATCTGACCCTTGAATAGAAATGCTGACAATATGATAAAAATTGCAAGCAAGCAGCTTATATTGTTAAAACAGGAAACCTCACGGCTAAATCGCAATGACAAAACTAACTGCGTATTATGCAAGCAAAGTCTGGCAAATGTTATAGTTAGGTCATTAAGAATTAACATAAGAAGCGTAAAAATTATAATAAAGAGCATGTCACCTGATATTATAATATAGATGAGTTAACTAGTAACCAATAGAAGTAAGAATTAGAAATGCATATGTATATGTGTTATCGCTATATAAGTAATAGTAAAGTTATGTTAAATGCCTCACTCAGACAGAGTGGGGACAGTTTTGTATCTTTTGTCTAAAAAAAGATAAGGGACTC